CCATTTTTGACAGTGGGGTGTTAAAATATTCTACTATAAATGTGTTGTTGCCGTATCTTTCTTGAAGTCCTCCAAGATTTTTTACGTATTTGGGCATTCCTGTGTTGGGTGAATATATATTTACAATGTTTATGTCTTCTTTGTGGATTCTTTCATTGAATATTATGAAGTGACCTTATGGGTCTCTCTTTATTGCCCTTTTTTTGAAGTCTGTTTTGTCTGATATGAGTATTGCTATCCTGGCTTTTTTTTTTCTGTCCATTTGCTTGGAAAATTTGTTTCCAGCCTTTCACTTTTAGTCTGTGTATGTATTTTGTCCTGAGGTGGATCTCTTGTAGGCAGCATATGTGTGGGTTATGCTTTCTTATTCACTCAGCTATTCTATGCCTTTTGATTGGAGCATTCAATCCATTTACATTTAAGGTTAATATTGATAGGTACTTGTTTGCTGCCATTTTTTCATGCCTGTCTTCCTCTATCTCTCTCTTTTTTCCTTCTTTTCCTTAAAGTAGTCTCTTTAGCATCTCTTGCAGAGCTGGTTTGGTTGAGTTGTATTCTTTGAGACTTCTTCTGTCTGGGAAGCTCCTTCTTTGGCCTTCTATCTTGATTGAGAGCCTTGCTGGGTAAAGTAGCCTTGGTTGTAGGCCTCTGGTTCTCATTACTTGGAATATATCTTGCCATTCTCTTCTTGCTTGGGGAGTTTCCATTGAAAAGTGAGCTGCTAACTTTATCAGGGCTCTCTTTTATGTCACTTCCTGTTTCTCCCTTGCTGTCTTTATGATTCTCTCTCTGTCTTGGAATTTTGTCATTTCAATAATGATGTTCGAAGTGGATCTCTTTGGGTTCTTCTTGATTGGGGTTCTCTGATTTTCCTGGATTTGCATGTCTTTTTCTCTCATCATATTAGGAAAGTTTTCTATCATGACTTTTTCAAACAGATTTTCTATTCATTGCTCTTCTTCTTCTCCTTTTAGCATCCCTATTATATGAATATTGTCATGGTTAATGTTATCCTGCACTTCCCTAATCTCTCTTTATTCTTTCTGAGACTCTTTTCCTTTTCTTTCTCATTCTGGGCATTTTTTCTACCTTGTCCTCTAGCTTACTGATATGAATTTTGTGCTTCATCTATCCTGCTTTTGATTCCTTCCACTGTGTTTTTCAGTTCAGAAATTGTATTCTTCATTTCCTCTTGGCTCTTGTTGAGAGTTTCTATTTTTTTTTTCATATTGATATAGTTTCCGATGAGTTCATTGTAGTTTCCCCATAGTTTCTGGTAATTCTTGTGAGCTTATTAAGCTTCTTGATAACCATTGTTTTGAACTCAGTATCTGATAGTTGACTTGCCTCTGTTTCATTTAGCATTATTTTTAAGGCTTCCTCCTTTCCTTTCATTTGGGGATTGTTTCTTTTCTCCCATTATTTGGAAACTGCTCTTGTTAGCCTCTGCTTCTTAAATTGATCTATTGTGACTCCCTGGGTTTGTGGTGTGAACTTCTATGGTAGAATACCTGTGAGATTCAACAGTGCAGTATCATTATTCTCCTGAGCTCATTTGTCTTGCGCTGTCATTTATGCTGACCCTCTGTATGTCTTTGGGTTTTGATTGTTGTTGGGTCTTTCTTTGTTGGATCCTTCCCTCCAGCTGGTTAACTGAGGATAACTCCAACCACCATGTCTTGTATTCTGTAGTACAGGTGTGGACAGGTTGTGTTGAAGCTTCTTCTTTTGTGTGTACAAGGTTTTGAGACTTCTCTCTCAATCTTTTTCAGTTGTTTATTGTTATCCTCCTTTTAGTTTTCTTTCCAGATAGGTCCCTGATTGAGGTTAGTGTGGCTTCCATTCCCTCCTTCACCTTCTGTTGTTATCTGTTGATAGTTCCTTTGTTGGTGGATTTCCTCTTCCAGCAAGTGTACTGGTGCTCACTGTTCCCACATTGCAAGTTCTCTGGAGTAGCAAAGTGAAATTTGTCTCATTCTCTTTGTTGTTGGGATGACCCCTGTTTGGGTTTAACTCTGTTGCTTTCTCCACTCTAGGTATTATTGTCTCACCTGTAATAACAGAAGGAAAAAAAAAACAAGAAAAGGAAGGAAGGAAGAAGGAGAAAAGAAAAAAAGAGGAAAGAGAGAAAGAGAAGGAAAGGGAGAAGTAATTTTTAAAAAGAGAAAAGAAAGAAGTACTGAAAAAGGAAAGCAGGGAAGGAAGAAGGAAGGAAAAAAGATAGAAGGAAAGAAAGGAAGAAGGAATTAAAAAATAAAATAAAAAAAATTAAAATAGAAGAAAGAAGAAGGCATAAAAAAGAAAAGGAAGGAAGAAAAAATAAAAAAAAAGGAAGAAAGAAAGAAGGACAGAAATGAAGAAGGAACTTTAAAAAAATGCCTTCTACTGGCTTTAAACTGGTCAGGCTAGTTCTGCTGCTGATTTTCCTGGCTGAGGAGGGATTAGTTTCACTTTTCTCACTTCCTGAGCCACACTCTTTGCTGTTTTCCAGCCTCCATCCCAGTTCCTCAGTGCCCTTTTGTGCTAAGCCTAGGCCTTTAGTCCACCAGTTGCTCTGTCCTTGAGGTGCACCAAGGACAACTCACACACCACCTTCTTGCTCTTTGTTGTACTAGATGCTAGGGACTCTCAGCACCCCTTCAGGGTAGTTCAGCCCCCCACTGAGTCAAGTCTTTTTGGGGACTGCAGCTCCCCTCAGTGGGGCTTTTCTACCTTCCTCTTAGAGAGCCAGTTGGCTCTGCAGGACTCTGAGCACAGGGCCAGGTGGGAGGTTCTCTGTCCCTGGTATCTGGGGTGTGAGTGTAGACAGGCAGCTGCATACCTCAGACCGGGTGCACATGTCCCCAGTGCTTTTGTTGTGGGCACTGCCAGGCCACCATTGGGCCAGACCAGGTGTGCACCATCTGGTTCTTTGGGTGTGGGTGCATGCAGGCCTCTCTCAGATGGGATCCAGTGCATACAGTCCCAGGACTGTGGGGGGAGGGGCATAGGAGGTGGGCGGCTACTTCGGAGAATTCCCCAAACAACCACAAAGTACCTCTTTTTTCTCTTTTTATTTTTGAAAAATTGCTCCCATTTAAGCCCACAGGTCCAAACAAGCACCTGGCCTCTCACACAGCCCAGCCTGGCTATCTCCCAAGAATCTTTCAGAAGACCACGTGGGTGCCAGGCCTGGGGCTGCTGGTCCCAGGGACCTAATTGTTCTTAAGAACCCTCCTTACTGTCTGATTTTTCAATGTCCTCTATAATTTTTGGTCTCCAATCTTCATATATTCTGGAATACTGTTGGCTGTTCACTCTGTTCCTCAGAAGATCAGATAAGTATTTCACTTGTGCGCTGGGGGAAGTGGATTTTGCTTCCACCTACCTTGCCACCATCTCCAAAACCACCCAAATCATCATTTGTTTTTTTTTTTGAAGGAGAACATGATAGAGCACTCTCTTCCAGTCCCACCATATACACAACATCATCTTCTTTGAATGAGGACCAGTATTTGATGTGGTTTTTGGTGGTTTATTTTACTTGTTCCATGATCTCTTCCATTCCACATTATTGTACAGTATCCACTTTCCATTGCCCATCTCAATTTGTTTTAAAAATGGAACATTTTAATTATGTTTAAGTAGAGAATCATGTACAAAAAATATGGTAAAAAAGTTTCATCTACTTAACTTACACAGTACCCAAACATCAAAGTGATTAACATAACTAAGCTGATGCAAGTGATTGCTAATGCTTGATTTAGACATATTGAGTATATTGGCTATTTCCCACATGATCTAACATTGATTGCTCTCAATTAATGTCTTGATTTGATTGCTATCAATTACAACTGGTATACTCAACTGTGGAGCATCGTCCAGTGAGAAATCTCCAGCACAAAATTTTGCAAATTACTTTAGACACATTTGATTAGTCACAGCACCTTCTCCATATACTGCAAAAGTCTTTATTTTGTGTTTCAGTTGTGTTTTTACCTTTCTTGAAGTAATAAAGCATAATATGCCAAAAATGTTGCTTATTTTCTTCCATCTTCAATGTTAAAATGACTACACAAAAATTCACTATTTTTGATAAGTTTTTTTAAATGCACATGGATGTGACAGCTGTTACACTATACTTTGACAAAATTGTTTCAAATGAAATTAAAGACAACTAAGCACTATTAGAGCCATCTTACAGAAAGAAAAACAAACAAACAAACACGTTTTGGCCAACCCAATACTTTACACATGTGTTGAAGTAAGTTATTGTAGTCTTCAAAAAGTGATAAAGTATAAACATAGTCAGTGTGGCTCAGTTAGCTGGAGAATCATCCCATAGACTGAAAAATCATGAGTTTATTTCCAGTCAGGGCCTTTACTCAGGTTGTAGTTCAATCCCCAGTCAGAGTATGTATGAGAAGGCAAACAATCATGTTCCTCTCTCTAAAAGCAATGTAATATTTTCTTGGTGAGGATAAAAATATTGATGAAATATATATATATATATATATTTATTTATTTATAGTAGAAATATGTAAGGAATATATATGTACATATATACATATGTATATATATATGAAATGAATCATTATTCAGTCATAGAAAGAAATGGGGTACTGAAATATACTAGGACATGGACAAACCTTGAAATAGTATGCTATGTGAAAGAAGCCACACAGAAAGGCCACATATTGATAAGTGACTATTTACATTAAATATCCAGAGTAGGTAAGTCCATAGAGACAAAATGCATACTGGTGGTTGCCAGGGTCATGGGAGGGAAGAATGAGGAACAACTGCTTAATAAATATACATTTCCTTTCAGGGTTGTAAAAATATTTTAGAACTAGTTAGAGGTGGTGGTTCTACACCATTATTTATGAATGTACAAAATGTCATTGTATTGCTCACTTTAAAATGGTGAAAGTTTTCATGTCAATGTCACCTCAAAATATTTTAAAAAGTGATGACTTGCATATGTGAGAGTTGTATCATCACACACCCTGACAGCTCACCTCCCCGGTACTCGGTGTTATTCCGCCAGTCATTTAGGTCAATTTCTGCTGTGCCAGCTATCACCAGCTCTAGTTCCCTGGCATCAAACACGGAGACAAGCCTAGAGTCTATGACCTGAAATACAGATTAGGCTTCAGCATACATGTCCAAACACATTGAGAGTTCTGTTCAATATTATTATTTCTATGGCTTAAGGTAGGAAACCGAGCATTATTTACAACTTTTTTCCCTCCCAATGTGCTATTATTGTGACTTTCATGATCTGGGAACTAAAAAAAGGTCCCATTATTTCATTACCTCTGATACCCCATCCAGAATGATAGTATGGACAAACCTGACTGGACTTTATAATCAATTAAATGTTCAAGTAGAATTTCATTTTAAAGACAAAAAGTCTAAATAACTTTGAATTTACTCGATAGCTATTAGTATTACTATTTCACTTAAAAAGTATCCTTTTACAAACTATCAAACTATGACTTAGGAATGGGCATTGCAACCATTGTACTTTTCTTCATTTTCCCCCTCACTTCTTTTCTCCCTTCTTCAAAAATTTGTGAGGACATACTGTTAGTGTTCTGAGCTCTGGCTTTCCAGCTCATTGCCATATGTACTAGACACAACTGAACATCTGTAGAAGGTACCCTCTTTAATCAAACCAATCATGGGTGAGACAGTGATGCATACTGTTATCCAATATGGCAGGGAAAGAAGACCCAAGCTTTGCAAAGACATTTACAGGTTCTTGTTTATAAACTGGAAATACTAAATGATGACAATTTTTGGTGCACAAGAAGGCTAGCAGCTGTTATGATTCTCTTGATTTAAACCTTCGCATGTTGCACAAAGTGGCACTACAACAAAATAAAATCTAGCAAAAGTGGACAGTGCACTCCAATGGCTTTAATTCCTTTATTTTTATTTTACTGAATGAAAAAAATGCACCATGCACATATCCTGATAGGAGATGTGTGTTGATACTTGGCACATGAGGGCCACATCAACACCAATTTTGTGAGAATATTTTTTAGCTACCACAAGAATTGGGTTACTCAGAAAACTCTCACTCCTTATTTATCTACCTCAAGTAGGTCCTCTTTACACTCTGGAGAGGAGAGCTGAACCATTCACCTTGGTTCTTCCTCTCCCTTTTCCTCCCAAGCTGTGTCTAGTGATGAAGGACTTGTTCCTTTGGGACTGGGACTTACCTCATAGAAGCCACGCACCAGGGCCTCTGTTTGCTGAACCACACCACGTTCCACTCGCCACTTCACCAGCCTCTCAATGTATTCCTTCTTGTTCTTCTCTGTCACCTGGGTATTGGCTCCCCCAGATTTTAATTCCCTTTCTGTTACCTTGTAGAAAAACAGAAAGATTGTGATGCTTGTTATGTCACAATGAGACATAACTATTTTAGGTGGATGAACTACATGCAAAAACATCCTCTTCATATGAGTTCAGTGTTATTACCTCCTCAGTTCATTTTTTTCCTGGAAGTTACTAAAAAGACCCTGGTTGTTCCAAGAAGATATTAAGTACCTTAGAAGAACTGCATTTTTTTTTATAAAGAGAAAATGTTCCCTTAACTCAAGAGACATAATGGAAATAAAAGTAAAATACCACTTCCAGTCCCTAAATGAAGCTTAATGTCCCTATACAGCAGGCACATACTTGACTTCCCAAATCTAACTTACAGCAAATCTTAACAGCCATCAGTTTCCCTGCACACAGAATCACTGGAAGCAAAATAGCATAGGATAGGAAGATAGTTTTTAGAGCCAGGTAAAACAGTGACTGAAGAATAGCAGCTTGACCTTCAAAAAGGAAACAGAGAATGAATGATACTGTCACTTAGTATTGTGATGCATGTTTACTAGGACAAGTGTGAGTCGTCAAAAAAAAGTTACAGTAAGGATATCCAACGTGACAGCAAACTAGGCAAACCTTACACCCACCTTCTTCTAGGACCAAACTGAAACTGCAACTAAAATATAGAACAATCAACCTGAATAACCAACTGAAGACTAGCAAAATAGAAGCTTTATAACCAAAAATGTATAGAAGCAGCCACATGGAAAATGCTCCATAGAGTAGAGGCAGGGCCAGTCACAGAATATGTCACTGGCCTGCACCAGAGTATCTCTCAAAATGACCCAGATATGCCCAGTAGCCAGCTTCAGACAACAAAAGATCAGGACACAATTAGTTTCTCAAACAGCCTATCCAAAAGACCTTCACAGATGCCAAACACTGCTAAGGCAAGTTCTGCTTCATGTGGTCAGCACCTGCACAGCAGCTTATACACTGTGTTTGGGGTCTGTCCTCACAGTCAGTCAGGCTGGTGGTTGACCACACACACGAACCAACCAATAGCAACATAGACTCAATTACAACAGGAAAGCCCACATAACCCACACAAAGGACATTTCTGGAGCACTCAGCTCAGGTGGTCAAGAAGACTGTGACACTGGGTCCCACAATATGCCTATTACATAAGGCCACCCTACCAAGACTGGGAGTTATAGCATATTTACTTAATACATAGAAACAATCACAAAGAGGTAGCCAAAATGGGGACACAAAGACATGTGCTCTCAATGAAATGACAGGGGAAATCTCCAGAAAAAAAGATAAATGAAATGGAGGAAAGCAACTTACCAGATATAGATTTCAAAAGCAATGGTTATACAAATGTTTGGAAATTTAGTGAGAACTTAAACAAGAGAGAACAAGCATAAAAGGACATAGAACAATTAAAAAAGACCAGAAATAAAAGAGGAAGTATTGTAATCTGATACCAGACAAATACCAAGGATTATATGAAATAACTATGAACAACTATATGCCAAGAAATTTGAAAACCTATGTAGAATGGATAAATCTCTAGAAAAATATAATCTCCCAAACATGAATGAAAAAGAAACAGAGAGCCTGAACAAGCTGACAACAGCTGATGAAATAGAAAGAGTAATGAAAAATCTTGTGGCATACAAAAGCCCAAGGCAAGATGGTTGCACAGGAGAATTTTACAAAACATTAAGGAACAGCTAGCCCCTATCCTTTTCAGATTATTCAAAAAAATCCAAGACTCTTTTTATTAAGCCAGCATTATCCTAATCCCAAAACCAGATAAAGACACAACAATGAAAGAAACTACAGGCCAATATTGCTGATGAACATAGAAGCTAAAATTCTCAACAAAATATTGGCAAATCAATTACAGCAATACATTTAAAGATTATAAAACATAATTGAGTTGGATTCACCCCAGTAATGCAAGGAAGGTACAATATTCTCAAGTCAATACACATAATATATCACATTAACAAAAGGACAGACAAAAATTACATGATCATATGAATAAATGCAGAAAAAACATTTGAAAATGTACAGCACCCATTTATGATAAAAACTCTCAGCAAAGTGAATGTAGAAGGAGCATACCTCCACAAAATAAAGACCCTATATGAGAAACCTACAGCCAACATCATGCTCAATGGATAAAAACTAAAAACTCTTCTACTAAGATCAGGAACAACATAAGGACATCCTATTTTAACACTTCTATTCAACGTAGTGTTTGTTGGAAGTCCTAGCCACATAGATCAGATAAGAAAAAAATAAAAGGCATCCAAATTAGAAAGGAGGAAATAAAGCTATGACTGTTTGTAGATGACATGATAGTGAGAATCAAAAATCTATAAACTCCACCACATAACTATTCAATCTAATAAGGGAATTTGGCAAAACAGCAAGATACAAAGTCAATATCCAGAAACCAAGAGCATTTTCGTAAACCAACAATTAAATATTAGAAACAGAAATCAAGAAAATAATCCCATTTACTACAGCAACAAGAAAAATAAACTACCCACATTAAACCTTATTAAGGAATAAACCTTAATAAGGAATAAACCTTACTAAGGAATTGAAAGACCTCTACTCAGAAAACTGCACAACACTGAAGAAAGAAATTAAGGAAAACACAAACAAATGGAAGCATATACCATGTTCATGGATAGGAAGAATTAACATCATCGAATTGTCCACATTACCCAAAGTAATTTACAGATTCAATGAAATCCCTTTTAAAATACCAATGACATATTTCAAAGATACAGAATAAACATTCCAAAAATTTATATGGTACCTTAAATGACAATGAATAGCCACAGCAATTTTGGGAAAGAACAACATAGGAGGGATGACAACACCTGATTACAATAGTCTCTTCAACAAATGGTGTTGGGAGATCTGGACAGCTGCATGCAAAGAAATAAAACTCTACCACCAACTTACACCACTCACGAAATAAACTCTAGATGGATAAAACATTTAAATATAAGTCATGACACTATAAAAGTCCTAGAAAAAAACATAAACAAGAAAATTTCAGTTATTTTACACACAGCATTTTCACAGATGTGTCCCCTAGAACAAGGAACATAAAGGAAAGACTAAACAAATGGTCATACATCAAAATAAAAACCTTCTTCATGGCTCAAGAAAACATCAGCAAAATGAAAAGGGCACAGACAATATGGGGAAATATATTTGCAAATGATAATTTGAACAACCATTTGATCTCCAAAATATATAAAGAAATCACATAATTCCATTCCAGGAAAACAACTCAATTAAAAAATGGGCAAAGGACCTGAATAGGCACTTCTCCAGGGAGAACATACAGAGGGCCCAGAGATATATGAAAGGATGCTCAGCATCACTAGCCATTAGAGAGTTACAAATTAAAACCACAATGAGATACCACTTCACACCAGTCAGAATGGCCACCAAAAATAAATCAACAAAGAACAAATGCTGGCGAGGTTATGGACAAAAGAGGGAATCCTCACAACAAATGCTGGCAAAGTTATGAAAATGTAGACTGGTGTAGCCACTGTGCAAAACAGTATGGAATTTCTTCAAAAATCTAAAAATGCAACTGCCTTTTGACCTGGCAATTTCCTTATTGGGATTATACCCCAAGAATCTTGAAACAGAAATTAAAAGGAACCTTTGCACCCCATGTTCATAGCAGCACAATTTACGATTGTCAAGTACTGGAAGTACCTAAGTGCCTATCAGTAAATGAGTGAATAAAAAAACCATGGCACATTTACATAATGGAACAGTATACAGCAGAAATAAAGGAGCTCCTACCCTTTGCAAGAGCATGGAAGGTCCTGGAGAGCATTATGCTAAATGTGACAAGCCAGGCAGTGAAAGACATATACCATACGATCTCACCTATAAGTGGAACCTAATCAACAAAGCAAGAAGCAAGCAATATCAATCCAGACACACTGAAATTTAAACAAACTGACAGTAACTAGAGGAGAAGGTGGGGAGGGATAATGAGGGAAAATAGGAGAAGGACCAGCAAAGAACATGTATAAAGCACACTAGACACAGCCAGAGTGTGGGTATGGGGGTGGGGGTTGAAGATGGCTGGGGCAGTGGGATGTGATTAGGGAAAATGGGGACCACTCTACTTGAAGAACAATTAAAGTAAAAATGCAATAAAAATACATTTTTAAAACACTTTTTTAAAGTTTGATGTAGTTCTTTTTGTTTACTTTTTTGTCTTGCCAATGAGATACATGAGAAAAAATATACCAGAGATACACCAGAGATTTTACTGCCTATATCTTCTTCCAGTATTGTTATGCCTTAAAGTCTAACATTTGAGTCATTAATCCATTTTCAGTTTATTCTTGTGCATGGTATAAAAAGTTGGTCATTTCTCCTTTTTTGCCTGTATTTATCTTCTACACAATTTATTTAAAAGACTATCTTTACTACATTGTATGTTCTTGCATCCTTTGTCAAATATTAACTGACCATAAATGTGTTGGTTTATTTCTGTTGCATATATGTCTGTTTTCTTGCAAGTATCATATTGTTTTTATTATAAAGGCCTTGTAGTATAGGTTGATATCAGGAAACCTGATGCCTCCAACTTTTTTCTGTCTCAATATCGCTGTGCCTTCTTGGGGTCTTTTGTGGTTCAATATAAATATTTGATATATTTGTTCTAGTTCTTTAGACAAAAAACTGTACTTGAAAAATAACTAAATAAAATTAAAAAAAAAAAGAACATATCATTAATGTCCTGATAGAAATTGCATTGATTCTACAGATTGCTTTGGGTAGTATAGATATTTTATTTTCTTTTTTATTGTTCTGCAGTTAAAGTTGTCCCCATTTCCCCCCATTACTCTCTCCTACCAACTCCCACATCAGCATTCAGTCCTCCCCCCTAATTGTCCTTATCCATTGGTCCTTTATAGGTGTTCCTTGATGACCCATCCCTCTCTTTGCCATGTAATCCCCCTCCCCCTTGAGGGTGAGA